CAGGGTAGCCCCGTCGGTGCTTCCAACTGGGAAGTACGTGCTGTATCGCCGCAATCATTTCCAAGGCTTCCGGGCCTTTTCTGATGGCACTTGTCGGTTGCAAACGTCGTGCAGATGCCACATCGGCATTGATTGTGACGCCAATAAGTTCGATACGAGCTCATTCGAGGCCATCTTCCAGGTCATCCCCCTGCGGGCTGACAGAGCGGTTGATGCCTGCTCGCCCATCGATTTCCAGGGCGGAGCCCTAACGCAACCTACTTCGGATGCATCTAGCACTAGCACGTTGTTTGAGCAGCCAAATTTCCTGGACAGTGAGTTTTCCAGTCACAGATCCTTGGTTGGCTCCAAGCCTGTCTCAGTGCCAATCTTCATGCTTTTCCCAGATTTCCTGGAAAGTCGCATTGCTGCCTTTGAAGGGCTGTGTGCTGACTACATAGCGCTGTTGACAGCCAAGCCGGAATTGTGGACCCGCATCCCATGTCCATTCCTCCACACGTCTCAGTCAGAATGGAACAGCTGCCTGTCATCCACCCGCAGCTTGCTCTGTAGCAATTTGATATCCGAAGTGGGCTCAGTGGAGGAAAGCCGCGTGAGCAAGAGATTGCGCTTGTATATTACGCTGCTGCGCCAGAATCGGCACCAAATTGCCAGCGGCGGTGTCAGCTTGAAGGCCATCCCCAACCCATGCGACCACAATGTCAGCAAAAGGCAGTGGGAAAGGGCTTGCAAACACTGGCGGCAAGATGCGCGGGGCGGATCTGAGGTGGAAATTTTGGGGCGGGAGCAGAATCCAAATTGTATCTTGCAGGACAGTGCCCTAATTCACGCCATTTTTCATCGCAACGCGATTCCAGCTGGATGCTTGCAGGCCGCATCTCACATTGCCGCTAGCCAGACAGACCCAGTAGGCGCATTGGAGGTGCTCCGGTCAGCCCCTGATCGAAAGCTGCCAGACCATGAAGGCCTACGGCCCATCCATCATACCATGTGCACAGATTCCAGCCAACAGTTCGGCACGCTCCAGGTTTTGATCTGGTTCGGTGCAGATGTTTTGAGCCAGCATTTCCCCGGTGATTCTGGATTTTCCTTGGCCCCGCCTGGGCTATGCATAGCTGTCTGCATGGATGAGTGCTGGTATAGGCTGCCCATGTTTGAGGTGTTGGCGCGGCACACGGAGGAACTAGTGGATTTGTGTGGGCGTTCTGCTTTGTGGAACACTTGCAAGATCATGTGACAGCAAAGCTTCATGTTCCCATTGGCCGACGATGTTGAAGGCGGTAGTGAAATTGTCTCGTTCCAGATGGCTTGCACAGGAGTGACGGTTTGTGCCTTGTTCGTATCAGATGACGACACCATCCTGACCTTAAAGCAGCAGGTTGCCTTGCATCTAGGGCACCTTCCCTTCGCTGTTGTTTTTCTGGTGGGCAATGAAGTTGTTCCATTTGCGCAGACATGGGCCAGAGCTGGATCCCCGCCACTTATGCACGTGATTCTTAAACCCAGGACCAACTGTCACAGACTTGCCTTATCAAAAGCCATCCAAGCGCAAAACCACAATACAGTGATCGACCTCCTCAGTAATGGCCAAGAGCCAGATTGCATGGGCTTGATCGACCGCACTCGCCGCTTAGAGCCAGTATTGGTGACTGCAGCTTCAGCCGGCTTCTTCTATTCTGCATTTTTGCTCCTCAATGCATGGGCAGACCCTAATATTGCTGGCAATGACCGCCGGACTTCCTTGCATTTTGCCGTTCTCACACATTCGCCAATGACTGTGCAGGTTTTGCTGGCTGGAAGGGCTGATGTGCATGTGAGGGATTTGCATGGCGAAACCGCTTTACATTTTGCTGCCATCAGCGAGAACGTGGCTTTCGTGAAACAGCTGATCATGGCAGGGGCTGACCCTTTGACTCCCAATGAGGAAGGAGATGTCCCGCTACTTTGGGGCCGTGAAGTGGACACTAAGGGTGCCCTTTTGGAAGGCTGTTGGCATGACATGTCGTATACCATGCTCTTTCTCTTAAACTTGCGAACCTTGTCAGCCTATACAACTTGCAGGCCATTGGAAAAGCTTTGCCAGTGCATGCGCAAGCTGCTCTGTGAATATGTCTTGCACGATGAAGCTGACTTCCAAGGAGGGGCCGAGTCAAACGCACCAACGGAGCGCCTTTTGCACTTGTACTTGTTTCGCAATCCGCTCCCTGCAGATCGGCCCCGGGTGTGGCATCAATTGCAATTGTTTCAGTTATATGTGGAGCCTCTCCAGCCCACATTGCAGAAATTCCCGAGATTGTTTTGGATTTTGCCGGTGCCATTTGATGTCTCGCAAAGCAAGGAACAGTGGAAGGTGAAGCTGTTTGCTGCCTCCACGTTTTTGAATTTGCTGCAGAAGGGCGAAGTCGTGAAGCTGGAGGGTGCCCTCATCACCTGGTTTTGGCCAGAAATTTTGCAGGACATGTCCTTATTGGACATTCTTAGCACAAGGAACACATCATCCAGCGCACGTTCTAGAGCGAGGCAGCTATCTACTGCTGTCCTCTTCTTCTCAGTGCTGGCCACACCTTTGCCGCAGACCACCCCAAAGAAATTGAGTTCAATGGGGACAAACATCTGTCATCGTTGGGTTCTTCTGCAAAGATTTTTGCTCAGCAACAACCACCGCAAACCCAAGAGAGAGCAGCCTAGAGGAAATCCCGTTTTGTTGCTGTCAGCAGCCCTGCGGCAGGAACTTGCACGACCCGCAAATTTTGAGGATAGGCAAGGTGGCGCAGAAGATGTGAGCCAAGGTGGCACAGAAGATGTGACCCGCCGAATCTTGGAGAACAGGGGCGTGGCCCGTTCCCGCAAAATGCTGAAGTTGGTGCAATGGTCGCATGGACTTGGAATGGAGTTGCCGTTGCGGGGAGACAGCGTGGATGCTATGGTTCCCTATCGTCACGAACATTTTGCTCCCTGCGTAGACATCACAACTCTGGCATGGCTTCACCCCCATGACAGAGACTGTCACGTTCGGTTCGAGTCTGAAGGCCACGTGTATTACATCCGTGGCAAGCAGACCAATGGATCTGTGACTGGGTTGATCCATGCCTTGGCACGACCATTCGATGCCGACGAAGTAATTTCCAATATGATGGCAGGTGACAGATGGCCTCGCGCAGGCTATTTGCGACCATTCTTAGGAGAGACTGTATTGAAGCGCGTCCGCCAAGTTGATGCAGACCTTGTGCTTGCTCTCCTGGACTCCCCCCGCAATGATACATGGATCTCCAACCGGCTCCAGAGCCTGCGGACGAACTTTCCAGAGATTGTCCAGAGTCTGGTATTTGGCCCGCATGAAATCAAGCGCATGTGGGAAGCCAACCGAATTGATGCTGCTCTTCGAGGCACCCACATGCATTTTTGGTTTGAAGCGCATGTGAATGGATATGTGGTGCCAAAAACAAGTCCAGAATTCTCGATGCTTGAAACCTTCTTACAAGACATGCAAGGGTGGCGCGCCTTCCGCACGGAATGGGTTATTTTTGGTGAGGAAGAGAACATTGCTGGGTCAATCGATCTCACTGCACAAAACCCAAATGGGCAGTTGGCACTGATTGACTGGAAGCGGACCTCCAGCCTAGCATCGAAATTCTCTTCGCCGTGGACGATGCTACCGCCTTTAGATCATGTTCCGGACTGTGCTGGGTGGCATTACCGGCTCCAACTGAACATTTACAGGTATATTGTGGAGAAATACTACGGCTTTGAGGTGGCTATGATGCTAGTGGTTTGCACCCACCCCGACCAACAATTGCGGCCTTTCATCGACCATGTGCCGCGTCTCGACAAGGAGATTGAAGTCGTGATGAGTTTGCGGCGGGACAAAGCACATGCTGTTGATGTGTCTGGAGGATCAGATTTTGAGGAACAACTTGAGAAAGAAATGGATTGGCTGAATGAGCAGGCGAAAGCCGAGGAGGCGGCTAGTAGGAGAGATGGGAGGGGTGGGCCAGAGGGACCGGAAGAAGCACAGCAACCTGAAGGACTTGCAAGTCAAGCTCTTGAGGATGATGGAGCAAACCCACTGCCAGAAGTAGATGATGCAAATCTGAGACAATGCAAGAAGCGCCGCTTGCTTCCTGGAGCTGCTTAGTCCATGCCGAAGTTTCAGAAAGAATTTGACAGCTTGCGGGCTGCTGCAAATACATCTCTGCAGCAGGCGTCAATCAAAAAGCCTGAGCAGAGCCATTCCCTTTTGCAACAGAGCAGCTACATGATCAAGCAGGTGCGTGCTCGCAAGCCACAATGGCCTGAGCAGCTTGTGCGCTTGGTGGCGTGCGCTTGCGTTTTGCCCCACATGCGGCTCTGCGATGCCTACCTCCGGGAACATATTTACTTGATCTGGCTGATGGAAGGTGGCCGCTACCTTCGTGTCCACAACGGACAATGCTTTCTGTACCATGATTGCGGGGCTTTCCAAGTCTTTCGCGGAAGCCCGCCGGAACAAACAGTTGCCCGGATCAAAGAGTTCATACTTCAAGTCGAAGGGTTTTTTCGAAGCATCCAAGGAGCAGTAGATCGAACACAGGAGAGTATAGTGCAAATGGTAGAAGGCATGGAGGCAGATGCGAATGGAGATATAAAGGTGCTACTTGACAAGTGGATATCTGCCGCGCTCTTCATGAAGCAGCTTCCGCGCGGCCGCAGAGCGCCTCAATTTGATGAAGTTGATGATGCGGAACCAGAAGCGGCGGCAACTGGTGATGCAGGAGGGTGGACCCAATCCATTGCTATCGCCCTAAGCAAGTTGAGCGTAACCCTGCAAAAGGAAGTCATGGATGATAAGATATATGGTCTCATGATTGAATGGTGTGAAGCGCCTTGCCAGAAGCAAGCTGGCTGTGCGTACAAAGATATATGCGTTGTGTATGATTCAAATGAAGAGAATGTGGAATTTGTGCAGCCAAGCCACGACAACAACCTCTACACATTGATCCCGCATGCCTTAAAGCCTTCTTTGCCGGATCCCGTCCTCCAAGCTGCGAGCTGCCGTTTGGAGAAGTTTTTCCGCGAGACCTTTTGGCGGAACTTCGATGTCTTTTTGTGCTGTCAGGCAGCCCAAGCCATCGCGAAAAGGGGTGAGAATATTGACCGATGCTTCATTGGTGAGAGCCCCGGTGGAGTAGGCCAATCTTTATACAGTTCTCACTTGAATGCGGTTTATGGACACAATCACGCATTCATTGACCCTAATATTTGGTACGATGAGCAAGAGCTCCGGAAGCAGATTGAGCAATTTGCAGGCTGCTTTATCTTAACAGCGCAGGAGGCGCCTGAAACTTCACGCCGAATGCGGGAAGACTTGTACAAAAAGACAATGAGTGCAGATGGCATGGCTGGGAGGCGGCCGTACGGGTATGTCACCCGCATGATTGAACTTACCGGATGGAAGAGGATGGAGGTCAATCGTCTGATGCAGTTCAAGGGTGTATCTGAGCATAACTTCCCATCAATCCTGCGGCGCAGTTTCCTTTGGCGTCCGCACGCTCGATTTGTATGTCCGCAATACTTGGAAGAGCATTACACAGATGCGGCGCTGGATGGGTACTTTCCAAAAGATCCAACTTTGAAGGAGTTCCTTGTCTCAGGACCAGCAATCGCCAGCAGCATGCAGCTGCAGCACGCGTTTGAACATACATACTCACGAGCTGAATGCATACATATGATAGAATCATATTGCAATTTGGGTGGTGATCAGGGATTGACAGAGGACAAAATGCGAATCGCTTGTGGGCTCCCACCGCGTCAGCGTGCCGAGATCGCTGCTCCTGGGCTAGGCCCTGTGGATGATCAACTAAGCCAGGATCAAGCAGAAAGTGTAAAAACAGGTTCTGAAGCAGTGGCCCGCCGCATTGTGGAGGAATGTCTTTCAAAGGGGTTCTTCATGTTCACATTGCAACAGTTCAAGACCATGTCTCTGCCTTCGAATGCACCCAATTTAGACAAAGAGAGCATGTTGACACAGCTACAAGAGCATTTATTGGTAAAGCAAATAGCAAGAAAGCGCGGCAAAGGAAAGCAGATCATTGTTCCATGCGTCCTGGGGCAAGGCAGTTTGCAGGATGTCTTTGATCTGAAAAGCTCAAACGACACGGCACTAGTATTCCCCGAAATGTGGCACACAAGTTGCTTGCGGGACTTTGCTTCCAAACATCTTGCCAGAGAACACAATGTCGTCACTATGATAGCATTCTTGGATGCCAGCATTGCTGCATTGAAGAGGAAAGGCTCCGGAAAGTTAACGTCTGAGGTCAAGCTCAGACACGATGCGTTGGTCGAAAGGAGGCGTAAGTTGGAAGCCAACGAGCAGTTGATTGGGAAGCTCCTCGCTGCTGCTGGTGGTGAGGCTGGTGACCTGGAAGGGCAGGCTAGCAGTCACAGATGCACAGGGAAGCAGCAATTGCGACATAGCAAGACAAAGTACAGACAAGGCTCAGATTTGATCCGTGGACGAAGGTATGCTTGTCAGCCAGGAGCACAGCAATGCTCTCGGAAACTTCTCAGGTTCTTGTGCCCTCAATCTATTGACTTAGCTTCTTGGATTGGAAAGGAAGCTTTCGCATTGTTTTTCTCCTGGGTTTCTCTTGCTTATGATTCTTACCCCTGAAAGTTAAACCTTTGTTAGCTTTGTAAAAGTGGAAGCCAAGGACATTGAAAATGCCTTTTTCACGTTGATGTCACAGCTCATCCATAAATTGGATCCTGTGTTCAAGATGCCGGATGATGCCGCAAAAGCATTGAAAAGATGCGCTGAGGCACGCAGTGATGTGATCAAGGAGCTAGGTTTGCCAGCTGCGGAAGGGAAGAAAGTTTTGCTTGAAGTCATAAACGGTGGCGGTCCGCCTAGCCGTCTGTCGGAACATGATGTAATTGTTGGGCTTCGGAAAGCTGCCATCTGGATTAAATGGCTTGCAATTTCAAATTTTCCCGATCTCTACAGCCACTGTGATGCAGACAGAAGCAAGCCATCGCCAGACAACTCCATGATAGCATACTTGTACCAAGCTGTTGAAGATCTAGTTTTGTCTAGCTGGGTGCAATTCCTCATGACGCAAGATCTCGTGCATTTATCCCTTCACTTCGACGGTTGCCGAATTCAGGGTCGAGCGCTTGACACGGCTTCAATGTGTCAAGAGTCTTCGGAGTGGATTGCCAAAGAGACTGGGTTTCAGGTGGTTGTGAAGCAGAAGAAGCACCTGCTTCTCGCGGAGCTGTTGGGAAGGGATGGACGTGTTTGCGATACTCTGTCACTTTCTTCCAGCTTCGACTACTCTGCAAATGGCATTCTTACATGCCTGGCCTACATTGCAGACCTCTGGTCACCATTGGACGCATGGCTACAGGAACATAAGGCAAACATTGAAGGAGGTCAAACACATCGTTCATATAAAGAATGTTTCAAAGCTGCAGATGTTGCCTTCTCAGTAGACATTGGTTTCTGTGCTGAGAAGACGGGGAAGTACCTACTCCATTGTGAGCACAATGGATCTCCGCTCGTCCTTGGATGTGTAATGGCCGAAGAAACTTGCAAAGTGTTAGTCCGGGACACAGTATATGCGCTATCAGCAGATGCTTTCAAGGCATGTGCTGAGGAGTCAATTGATTATGCCTCCCTAGTGACATTTCGCATGCTGAAAGCAGGCGAAAAACCCCGGCAAGAATCTGAAGTTCTTCTGGAACTGCAGGCCGGCTTCGATCTATCTGGCGGTGCTGAGTTGGAGATGTTGTGTGAGTGCGAAGGATTGCTGGAGAATTCTGATGATGAAGGCATGGCCGGATCACATGTTGATGAATCAATAGTGCAGGTGGGCGAAGAGTTGCTGGCGTTGCTCGCAGAAGAAAGAGGTGAAGTCCTAGATAGCACTGAGACTGTGCATGAAGGCAGTATGCACCGTTGTCCGTTCTGTCCGTTCCGGCAATTCCCTCGACCTTCTCGTGTGATGGAGCATGTGCAAAAGTATCATACAACGAAACGACAATTCTGTTGCAGTGGCACCAAGCAAGTCAGAGTCATTCAGGCTTTGTTTGACGATGACCAGCTCCGCAATATACAGCCAAGTGCTCGCTACCTCCGCAGGAGCGCCGCCGTGTTGCGAACATCAATTGGGAATGAGGATGGAAGCATCAATCATCTTGATCGTCGATTACGCTTGGTCTTGACGGAGAAGGGCCCCGTGTACAAAAGCTTGCAACACGTTGCTGAGAACGAAACAGTGTACCGTCGAGCCAAGAACTTGTATTACACGCATGGATTTGCAGATATGCTTTTCCAAGAGATGATGGTTAGCAATGCAAAAATGAAGCAAGCATCTCGACTGAAGCTTGTAGACATGTATCCCTTGGATGCACTCTTTGTTGCTCCTTTAAATTGTGACATTGACTGTTTTTGTTACAAGCGATAACCCCTGTTGATTCTAAGGCGGCTAGCCGGTTGGCTTTGAGACTCGCAGCAAGTGGCAGCAAGCTCACGGGCCTCTTGCCTCAGCATGTTCGACACTGGTGGCCGCTCGTGGAGGACATCTTCTACTCCGACGCCGTGAACCAGCTGTTCGCCCAATCTATGGCAGAGGCGGTTCACCATACGGAATTTGAATCCGTCAGTGTGGATGCAACCCTGAAGTGTTGCCTCTCCATTCTCGGCCAGAGTTCCTACAGAGCAGGGCCGCAGGAACGAGCCAGCGCTGCTTTCACGGGGAAAGATTGCTTTCGCAAGGTGCCCGGGCTGTTTGTTAGCCTCCTTTTAGACAAAAGCCAAAGGTGTCAAGTTTAAACTAAATTTGTTTGCTTCATTCTCAGAAACCATCTGCCTGGCAGGTTCTGACAGTCCGTGGGCGAACCGGCTGTGTACTGCTCATGGCTCCAACGCCAAATGAGGAGGCACCCGCCATTGCCGAGCGCATTGCTGAGTCGTTGCCTGAAGATGGACTCCGGCAAACACGGATTGTGTGCACGGATGATCCTTCTGCGCATTTGTTGTCGACATTGCGCAATGTCATGCCAAAGCTGGAGCTGCTATGCTTGGACCCTGTCCACCTATGCATGACTTTTGAGTATGGGACGTACAGAAGAAGAACAAAGGCGTCAACCATGTTGAGAACAATTATGCAAAAGTTTAATGCCGTGGACTTTAAGAACATGTCAGCCTACAACTCCAGGCCTTTCAACGGCATTCAGGATGTTTCGTTCGATCACATCACCAAGACACGTCGAGAACAGATTCTGAGTGGAGGAATGGGAAAGGCCAAAGCAGAATCTCTCCTTGACAGCCTGGATGCTGCGAAGCCTTGGCAATGCGAACGGGATTGCATTGAGGCCATGGCAGCATTTGTCCGATGTTTTTCGGACGATGTAGACAAAATCATTCCCGGTCCGAACCGGTCTGGACGGCAAGTGCTGTACACTGCCTGCGCGCCTGCGAGGATGCAATGGTATTTCAACAACATCCGGGCGCGCCATAGTATGCGGCCAGATCGAGTTGTATTACTTCCTGCTGGTACCACTTCCAACGAGGCACTGCATGCTGAAGTACGAGCTTGGTTCCGAGAGACGCAGCAGATGCATAAGAGCACATTGGAAATCAAACTGCGGGTGCTTCACCTGTCCAAACTGATGACCCACCATGCGGGCATGTACAGACCAACTTTGCGGCAAATTCCGTCGGGCCTGGTGCTGGCTAGATCTGTTGTCTCTTCTGCCTGGAATCGACGAAAGCCCTGGAGCAAATTTGCCGGACAGAGTGGCAAGGCTCATTTGCCTCTCAATGAGAGACGGCAGCAAGAAGCATCATTAGTCAAGGCGCATGCTTCCAAAAAACCGGCTGCCAATATCAAAAGACCAGCGGCCATGAGGCATTGCGCAAAAAAGCCAGCCACGCACGTCCTCCCGCAGAAAGTGCGCAGGACTCCCTTTAACAGAGTAAGAGTGTCCACTTGCCGTATCATGGGCGAAAAAAGGCAAGGAGGTTTGAAAGCCTAGGCCTTTGAGTTATTGGATGCTTGCACTTGACCGATCTCTGCGCAGAAAAAGGTTCAAGTCGGCGCGCGCCCTGCCAGATGACGCTGTGGGACTTGTCAAAGACAACATGTTCCGATTGTATTAAAAGCATTTTCAGAACATCAAGCTACTCCGTCAGGCTTGTTCTTGCGGCCTTCGATCTCTCAAACTCTTCTCAAGGCAAGAAATTTGGAAGGGCACGGGGGTCAGAAGGTTTCTTTGAGTAGCACAGGTAAACCTGAAACATGAACCCTTCTCTTAGTATTTTTCCTAGCTGGAAGACCATGGTCAACTTCGGAAAGCAGGACATGAGGCGGTATGATGATGTTGGCCTGGTTCTTCTTATGTCTCCGCACTGGTTGTGATGTGAGAAGAGTGTGTCAAGTCTCGGGCTTGAGGGCTGTCAACAAGAAGGGCTGTCAAGATTCAGGGATGTCAAGGGCAAACCGGATCAAGAGAAAGTGCGGCATTATCAGACAAGACTGTCGAGAAAAAAATATCAAGGAGAAAGAGTTCCAAGAGATCACGCAGGCAACGGCCGTGACAACCAGGCGGCCAGGAGTCGCTCTTATAGGTTATCCCTTTTCTTTATAGACTTCTTACTTTTGTCTTTCGAAACTTCCGTCACCCGGCTTGCCCGGGCCTTACTAAGTTTTCACGGGGAATAGTCTGAAACAATATTTTCCAGCGGGTTCATGTCATGGCATAGCCTCCTCAGGGAGACGAGTCGGCATGGGAGCACCACTGGCGCCCCTGGTCAAGGGGGTGGGGCAAGTGGCGCCTCGATTGCAATTCTTGTGGATGTCGTTGCCACTTTGTTTTGAGCGTTCTCCACTGGTAGAAAGGCGTGTTCATGTCTTGTCCGCCGGTGGGCGACATTGAGCAAAAAAAATCAACTATTTTGGATATATGATATATTGTAAAGATGACTATATCGAACATTGCGCGTTGCAAACGCTATTTTCCCATATTTTTGAAACTTGAGGGACCGATGGGGACCATACGGGAAGAAAGATGCTTGTCCGCCAGAGTGCACGTGCAGCAGTGATTTCGTGATTTCTTTGTCACATTCACGATGTTTCTTGTGTTGCAGCACATGGCTTCTATTGGATCCCCGATGCTTACCCCTGGCTGAGAACCCGGGGGTCCAGCCCAAAAAAATAGCCAGGGGGTACCTTGAGTATCTTGTACCAAATTTTTATCCCAGTAGCTGTTTCTTATATTTTGGGGTTGTATCGGAATTTTATTCGCCGGATACCTTTACTCTCAAATATAAAAATTCTACATGCTCTTGACTGTCAGTCCCACGGAATTTTATCCAGGAGGGATTTTGGTACATGAAACAGTTCAAGCAGGGTCTGATATCAAGAAATCAACCCCAGATAAAACCCACGGGTCTGAGATTCTATGGTCCAAAAGGTTCCTCATTTCTAAGGTCAGATAAGGTTTGAGATGTAAAGATCCTAAAAAATATCAATATTTTGTAAAACAAACATGACAGCCTATGGGATATCAAAAATGATAGATCATATAGATATGATATTAAGAAATCGACCCCAGATAGAATCCATGAGCCTGAGATTGTATGGTCCAAAAGGTTCCCCATGTCCAAGGTCAGAAAAGATTTGGGATATAAAGATCCTAAAGATTAAACATTTTATATAACAAGATAACAGTCTATGGGATATCAATGATGATAGATTGGATGTCAAGAAATCAACACCAGATAAAATCATATAAAATCCACGAGTCTGAGATTATATGGTCCAAAAGGTTCCCCATTTCCAAGGTTAGATAAGGTTTGAGATGTAAAGATTGTAAAGAATGTAAAGATTTGTCCCCTATTTGTGCCAATTACATTCTATAGTTTTGCGGAAGTGATTTGAAGAAACAAATCTGGGTTCGTGAAAACAGATGCGCAGAGTTGAAATCCCAAGGTCTAAGCTTTTTCTTTTCGGATGTTTCAGCAAGTGCTTGCCTAGGCCCTTCCTGGAAACTTCAACAGGTATAAATGAATTTCTGAATCATTCTGAATCTGCGGCTTTTGGAAGATTTGGATGAGCTGGGAAACTTTTTTTTTCGATGAGCATATCCAAGCATCATGAAGATCATTGTGGATCATAACCTGCAAAGATCTCACATTTTTCAAAAATTGACTCGGCCGAATAGACCTCAAACCCTTGGATTTTATCTGCCTGATATCTCTCTACAAACCAAGTGGGGTGGTATAATTTTTTGGTCTCGAGCCCGAATTTTCGCCTATGCAGGACCTCATGCCCAAATTTTATCCAGCCTTGTTTTGGGGTAGGTTCGGAGTTTTAGCTGGCTAAAATCGAGGCATGAGACTAAAAGGCACAAGCAACGGGGATCTATTGGTAAACCCGCTATAAATTCTAGTTGATATCTTCATTCCCCCAGGAACAATCAGAACATCGGTGTCAAGTGACTATCCCATGCGAGAGCAAAGAGATGATGGAGGAGCTGGTCAAGCAACTGGAATTTTGGGGTGGCTTGGAGAAACTTCTTGTCCAATCAAAATTGGACACAGTTCAGTGTTTTTAGGTCTGACTTCACAATGTCTGGTTCCAACACATAGAGGTTCTTCTTTGGGCAAGTAACGTGGAATCTTGAGGTGTTATTTGCATTACGGGCGTTGAGAAGTCTTGGTTGTAATTGGGTTACAAATTATGGTGGTATTCAGTGTCTGATGTGGTTTCGATGCATCTCAATTGCGGAGACCTGTTTTTAAAGCTTATTTTGACCAAAATTGAATGAGGATTACTATTTGATTCGGTTTCGATTCTGATTCTGCGGCCAGACTCTCAGGCACCATCGAAGGTCGCTTTTTGGATGAAGAGAACAAGGTGCTGAAAATTCGGTTTCAAAGGGCCGTGCAGGCCAAAGCGTGTGTGGCTGGGATGCCTAAGGTTAGCTGGGCATAGAACTTGAGGCTGAGAGCGGCTTGAGTCGGGCATGGAAAAAAGCTGGCCTGGAGTGGCTGGAGAGATTCCGAATATTTCATGAAGGGCCCCAATGGAAGGCAAATAGCTGTATCAGCAGAGGCAAGGGGTACGGTCATATTATACCAGAAGGTCCCTGCCACATATATATATATATCTGAAAACTTATCTTTTTAAGATCTGAAGGGCACAGAATTTGGAGACATCCCAAGTGGCAACGTGACTTCAACCCGGCATGTGGTTGCACAATACCAGGAAATTCAAAACAGTTGGCTGGCTCACTGCCTTACTCTCCACGGTTCTGCATGGCCAAAGCAATGCCGCGGCCGCCTCCTCTCTCTGCAACCCCAGCAATCTTGTTGAGTTCAGCCAAATCCACATCATCTGCAATGACTTTCAAGGTGCAACTCTTCAAAAACGATTGAAGTTTCCCTTCCTTTTGATCATACTGAATCATTTTCAATGGCAACAACAGCAGTTTCGATCCATCACTGAGCTCTTCCATGTGCTGTGCTTCGCGCCACCACAACTTCTTGGCTTCCGCCATCTCCGGGCCACCCACGTCCACCCGGTTGTAGGCCTCGCCACCGAAGACCATGGAGGTCACCAACCCGGCCGCGTTGCGTTGCGGCTCGTTGTGACGACCCTGGCTGTGGTAGGGGCAATCCTCTCCTGGGCTGCGCGGGCTTTGGAGGGTGGAGCCAATGGAGGGAAAAACAGGGATGTTAGAGGATGTTAGATTATGATTTTGGCATATTTTCTGGACAAATTTTGGTTTGTAACAGGAGAACATGGGGGTGTCAGCAATTACTTACAACAAACATAAAGAATTGAAAATCAGACGGACAAGTTGAGTCTTATTCATGGTTCGGAGTTGAGCCACCCATATGAAAGGCAATTCTGATTAAAAAGTGGTTTAATTTGAAAACCGCTGCCCAGTCTCCAATGTCCAAGGTCTCTGCATCCAACATCCAGGAAACTCCTGCACGATTGGACCATTTGTAGCCCTTCTCCTCTTGCGTCACCGTGACATAGTGCCAATCGTTGCCATTGCCGTTGTCCACGTACTGGGAACATTCATATTCTCCACAAACTGGATCGGCACTTGAAGCTGAATCCTCAACTGTGATGTCTTTGGAGTCCTTGTTGTATGTCACCTGAACAAGTGCAATTTCCGTAAAACTCATGAAAATGATAATGGGTTGTTGGATCGTGTGATACATTCAATGGATAAATTGAACTGAAGACCCACTACTAGCATCAACCATGACTTCCGAATGATATCGTCAATCATATGTTAAAACCACCGCTACCAAAAGCACCGCACAAGGCAGTGGCGGAAATTTCAAAAATAGGAAACCTATAGGAGCGGTTGGTTGTTGTGAATCTATCTATCTATCTATCTATTCATCCATCCATCCATCTATCTGTCGATCTATCTACCTATCTACCTACCTACCTACCTACCTATCTATCTATCGATCGATCTATCGATCTATCGATCTATCTATCTATCTATTCTAATCTCATCTCATCTCATCTAGACTAATCTAACCTAGTTTATCTTATCTTATCTTATCTTATCTATCTATCTCTCTCTCTCTGTCTGTCTATCTATCTATCTGTCTTTTCTGCAAGCTTGAAAACGAGGCTATTCTGCGAGACTTCGTCAGCTTTTGAACTTGACAACATCAAAGACGCAGCAATTCAGCGAGACTTTCTCAATTTTTGAACTTGACAACATCAAAAACGAAGCAATTCTGCGAGACTTCCTCTTTTTTCCAAGTTGACAACATCAAAAACGAAGCAATTCTGCGAGACGTCCTTCAAAAATGGAAAGTTGAGTGCAGAGCTGACGGTCTCGTGCCAATGCGTTTTGCGATTTTTCCACTCCACCTGTCTTAAGTACTGTGCCTGCCTGGAGAAAGTGATGCCAGGTCATACGCAGTGCTGCACCTGTCACGCAAAATCATCTCAGCAAACCTGAAGATCTGATGCTCCCAAATGCAACCCTCTCAGGAAATCAGCGCCCTGACCTCCTAACATCTCTGATGTTCTCACTTTTGACACGGTGCAGAATCCCTTGCGGCTGCCACGCGAAACGACATCTGAACGTCCAAAAGTGGTCCGAGCATGCGGGGTTTTTCCCATTTTGACTTCGAAATGTGCTTCGCGCCACAACGGCATGCACTTTTCAACATCTCAACTTCCAAAAGTGGTCCTGAGCTGGTGTGCTTTGCGCATTTTGACTTCCAAATGCGCTTCGCGCCATAATGGCGTGCACTTTTTCGACATCTCAACTTCCAAAAGTGGTCCGGAGCTGGTGTGTTTTTGTACATGTTGACTTCGAAGTGTGCTTCGCGCCACAACGGCGTGCGCTTTTTCGACATCTCAACTTCCAAAAGTGCTCCGAACACGTGGTGTTTTTAACATTTTGACATCGAAATGTGCTTCGACAACGGCGTGCAATTTTTCATCTCTCATCTGGCCAGCTGGCTCCGCATCCGCCGCTTTAGCGAGCCTACTTTTCGACCCTCCGGAGCCGCAAATCATTGGAAAAACACAGTGTTACGACTTTCCCTACCTTTTCGCGCGCCTGGATCTTCTTTCTTCTGAGACTCTCTCCTTTTTGATCTTCTTTCTTCTTCTCTTCCCACCTCTGCTTTTAATTTGTCCATATTGTCCGAAGTTTGACTTCTAAACTTCCTTCAATGAATCTATACATGACGATTTCATCACATTTAACACTCATGAAAGTACATGACGAAAAAACAAGAAGCAACCCATCAACCACGGGTTTTTGAAACCATTCCACCTCTGTCATCACCACGCCCTTGGCATTGCTCGGTACCTTGACCGCCAGCTGGTAGTAGGGCGTCTGCGCATCGTAGCCCCCACCGCACCAGTGCGCTTCGGGGGCGCAGCCGGGACAGACGGGAACGAACAACGACCCTTCGAACTTCCATTCCTGGCACGTCAGGGGAAAAGCAACAAATAGCTCGAGTTTTTCAACTCTCGGCTGGCAACAAATTGATCCTGGAGAATCGAAGAGGTTCTGCGAAAAAGAATGGTGCGACATGGCCAAAACATTTCTTGACAAAGCAATTTATGCGTGAACACGAAAGTCAAAAGAATATGGACGACTAGGTGACTAAAAGGGATGACTTTAGAATTTAGATACGGCACCCTTTGTGACAGACCATGTTCCACCCCACTTCATCCCATTTCGTTGTGCCTTCAGCTGATCCGGGTGCACTTCCACCATGCTCCACTTCTCGGGCCCCGTCACCGTGATGTTGGCCTTGTCGAAGCTGTGTCGCGCCATCTGCGCCACGTCAGGCTGACAGCTGGGGTAAGGCCTCAGTGCCGGATCTCCCAAAGTGAAGCGATTCATCAAGGTGTATTTGCCCAACCCCACTTTCAGTGCCCGGTGGTGCGCCAGGAATTTGTTGTGCGCACCCAAGTTGGCTTCACCCAAGGATCGGCCGTGACCATCCAGCAGTTCGTTGAAGAAGGCGACGCTCCAAAGGGTGGCGATGGCCGTAGGACACCGGGCAGCACCCGTGAAGCAAACGCCACCGCGCGCCATGACCCGCGAGGCACAGGATGGAATGCCTTCATCGATGCCAGCAGCATGGCATCCCAAGGACAACATCACACAGGGAGCAAACATCACATCGCTGTGACGTCGCATGCATTGACCCAATCCAGCCCAGCCAGAATGATCCTTGTGCAACACTGCAGTTGCTTCGATCTTGTTGTTCTCAAAATCCACCTGGTGCAACGGTTTCATCTCATCTTTTTGAAGCTCCGCCAAAGAGAAGCCGGCGTTCATGAAGATCTTCCGCAGTTCGGGCCATCCCCAAAGACCAGCATCCACGATCTTGTCCTTCCACTCACCCGCAGCCCTCAAGACGGCATAGTTCACGGAACGAGTAGCCAACAGGAAACCGGCAGTGGCTGAATCAGTGTAACAACGACCTACGGCAATCTCATGAGCATCATCCAAATTGAACTTGGCTGTGGCATAGTGATAGTCCGTAAGTGCATAATCTTTGCAGTTGTTCACATCTTCAGTGGTTTTGCACGCTGGAACACTTTCGGTTGACCCCACGAGGTTCAAAAACCGCGGCTGACCCAGCACTTCGTAGACTCCCTTCAGCTGCTCCTTGACTTTGGTCAACGGAGCTGCATCCAAAGCTTTGGCTTTTTCCAGTGCCACATCCTTCAAAGGTAGCACCAAACCACCATGGGCACAGGCATAGATGGGAGCCGTCAAGGATAGCTTCAGCTTGGTTTTCCGGTCCAAAGGATTGGTCAAGGCGATATAATTCACCGCAATGCCTTCATCTTTCAGGTAGGCTGCAGCCTTGACGATGTCGGGAATGGACACCACCTTGGCATCACCTGCCTTGAAATCGGCCAGATCCTCTCCCAAAGTCACCACTGGGTAGCTGCCGAAATCCGTGAGCTCCGACACATCCCCCGCATTTTCGGTCACGAAAAGAGGGGCCTGGAGCAAACACGCCAAAGACGTGGCCAGCAAGGCATTGCCGTAATCAGCCGTGGACACCACCACTGCCAACTTGATTTCTCCAGCCCAGGTGGTGGCAATGAATTCGTTCATTTCCTTCAAACTGTTGCAGGTGCGTTCCGTGACACCGGCAGATTCAGAGCCTTTGACTTGTCCCTGGAGTTTCTCATCTTCGCTTCGAAAGATAGTCACCTGGTTGGGCTGCAGCCGATCCAACAAGTTCTGAATGGCATCGTCATCTGCTGGGGATGTGTCATCCACGATCACCGCAGGAATTCCGCTGTTCAAATGTGCATTGGTCGCCACGGCTGCCAAGACACTGAAGTCACGCCAGTCTTCCTGCTCCTCCACGTTGCAAATGAACGCATGGATGTTGCCACCCGCCTTCCGTTCCACCTCTGGAAGTGCCAAATGAACCCCTTGTTCTCGGACTTTGGTTTCCATGACACCGATCAAACGGGCATAGCTCAGTCCTTCTCGGACTGCGGCAATCACCACATCTTCATCATCAGTTTCAAAGGTGATTTCAATGTCATGTCCGCTACCTTCGGCTGGCGTCAACTTGAACTCCTCCACGTTCAACTCGAAACTCAGCCGCTCCTCCGCCGCAGCGTTGATCCAGTGGTAGCCGCGGCTGTCAGCCGAAATCAGGATCTCTTCTTGGGTCTCGGGATGCAAGTAGGAACCCAACATCAGGCACAAGGATTGGAGAAGTTTACAGAAAGATGGAGTGAAGACGGAAAGGAAGAAAATTGGTCGAAGAATGTCGAAATTGATGTTGGTAAGTATGACCGATTTATACTTCAAAGATTTTCAAAGTATAAAGGCTGTATTCAAACATGGTCATCGTCATACATGAGTTCCGTTCTGTTTCACGATATGCGGGGAGTGGCTGGAGCCAGAAGAGCCACTGCACCACGCCAATCAGCAGGGCAATCATTGGTGTATATTATCCGTATATTGCTGTCACAACACATTTCTGTCCAAGATCAACCACAACAGCTGCAATACGCCTGGTGCACCTTCAATTGCCAGCAGCTTGTCTGTCAGCTGATGGGGAACGCCTCAAATCTGTCCAACTGTTGACTCAAATCAATGGTCTCCTGGCTGCTTGTCAACTGCATGTCCACTCAGCCGAAGCAATCTGATACTAATTCCTCCAAAATCCCAATAAGTCTATCATACATTCCCCTTCAGGTCCTTCGGGTGCAGAATCACATGCGCCCAGTCGGTCCTCTGCGACTCGGATTCATTTCAAGAAAAGGTAAAAACTATAGCAAGCTCAACATGCTGTAACTGCTGTAAGCAAAACAAATCGCATTCAGAAAATGTCGGGATGCTAGCTGGTTGCATTTTTTTGCATCAACCTCTTTAGAGAAAAACACCAGATGCTGTCTGACTTTGGGCAAAAACCATTTACACAGGACCGACTCGTCTGGACGTGGAATGACATCCTAACATTGTGCACCAATGCGCGAACTAATAACCAGCATGTCAGCCATCCACTGTGTGGTCGTGTCGGCGTTCTCAGTCCAATGTTTTTTCCCGAATGCGTAGCAAGGGTTCCCGTTTCACTCTGGGGGTCTGGGGGTTGAGGGTGTGTTCGCTCGACGTTGCGTCTGCGTCCGCAACCGTCCGCAACCGTCCGCAACCGTTCGCAACCGTCCGCAACCGTTCGTGTGAGGACCGTATACGGCCGTGCCTATGGGAAGTTTTGCAGAGGTGGTCCTTTTTGGAGGTTTCAGACGTCTGGTTGCTTCGTTTCGCGTGGCAGGCGTGGCACTTCGTGACATTCAGACGTGTTCTGGAACGTGTCGAAAGTCGTTTTGCGTGGCAGGCGCAATACTTTTGCGACGTTTTCAGAAGATGTGTTGCAGTTTTCGTGGCAGGCGCAGCACTTTGGACGTGTCCATCATTTTTCGTGGCAGGCGCAGCACTTTAGATGTGTCCTGTTGCGTGTTTTTTGTAAATCGCATTGGCAGGGCTGCGTCAAGTGGTGACAAGGTACACATTCCGTGGCAGGCGTGGCATTTTGTGCGATGTGCTGAAAATTGACGGAAGCCTCGCACGAAACATCGATTTTGAAGTTGCAAATTTTCAGGTTCTAAGGAAAACTCGTAGGAAAACGTCGATTTTGAAGCTACAAAGTGTGAAAATTGGAGGAAGTCTCGCAAGAAATGCTCGTTTTGGTGCTCCCACCTGTCTCGTCTCGCGTGTCTGGTTTTCCTGTGGCCTCGCCGTGTCTATGCGGGAAGCTGCAAAACTTGTCTTTTTGTCATGTTGCCAACTGTGAAAATTGCCGGAAGTCTCGCACAAAATGCTGGTTTTTCTGCATCCACGTGTCTTGTCTCGAGTCGTTTGTTTTTCTGTGGCGTCGCCGTGTCTATGGGGGAAGCTGGAAAACCTCTCCTTTTCGAAGGTTTCCAAGGAGGTTGTCATGTTGTTTTGCGTGGCAGGCGTGGCACTTTGTGACATTCCAACCTGTTTGATAATGTGTCAAAAATGTCAAATTGGAGGAAGTCTCGTACGAAATGCTGGTTTTTCTGCATCCACGTGTCTTGTCTCGAGTCGCTGGTTTTCCTGTGGCGTCGCCGTGTCTCGCAAGAAATGCTCGTTTTGGTGCTCCCACTTGTCTCGTCTCGCGTGTCTGGTTTTCCCGTGGCCTCGCCGTGTCTATGGGGGAAGCTGCAAAACTTGTCTTTTTGTCATGTTGCCAACTGTGAAAATTGCCGGAAGTCTCGCACAAAATGCTGGTTTTTCTGCATCCACGCGTCTTGTCTCGAGTCGTTTGTTTTTCTGTGGCGTCGCCGTGTCTATGGGGGAAGCTGGAAAACCTCTCCTTTTCGAAGGTTTCCAAGGAGGTTGTCATGTTGTTTTGCGTGGCAGGCGTGGCACTTTGTGACATTCCAACCTGTTTGATAATGTGTCAAAAATGTCAAAATTGGAAGAAGTCTCGTACGAAATGCTGGTTCCCGAATGCGTAGCAAGGGTTCCCGTTTCACTCTGGGGGTCTGAGGGTTGAGGGTGTGTTCGCTCGACGTTGTGTTTGTGGTCGCAACCGTTCGCAACCGTCCGCAACCGTCCGCAACCGTCCGCAACCGCCCGCGCGAGGACCATATGGCCGTGCCTATGGGAAGTTCTGCAGGAGTGGTCCTTTCTGGCGTTTTCAAACGTCGGGTTGCTTCGTTTCGCATAGCAGGCGTGGCACTTCGTGACATTCAGACGTGTTCTGGAACGTGTCGAAAGTCGTTTTGCGTGGCAGGCGCAATACTTTTGCGACGTTTTCACAAGATGTGTTGCAGGTTTCGTGGCAGGCGCAGCACTTTGGACGTGTCCATCGTCATTTTTCGTGGCAGGCGCAACACTTTAGACGTGTCGTGTTGCGTGTTTTTTGTAAATCGCATTGGCAGGGCTGCGTCAAGTGGTAACAAGGTGCAAATTCCGTGGCAGGCGTGGCATTTTGTGACATGTACTGAAAATTGACGGAAGCCTCGCACGAAACATCGATTTTGAAGTTGCAAATTTTCAGGTTCTAAGGAAAACTCGTAGGAAAACGTCGATTTTGAAGCTACAAAGTGTGAAAATTGGAGGAAGTCTCGCAAGAAATGCTCGTTTTGGTGCTCCCACCTGTCTCGTCTCGCGTGTCTGGTTTTCCTGTGGCCTCGCCGTGTCTATGCGGGAAGCTGCAAAACTTGTCTTTTTGTCATGTTGCCATCTGTGAAAATTGCCGGAAGTCTCGTACGAAATGATCGTTTTGGTGCTCCCACGTGTCTCGTCTCGAGTCCCTGGTTTTCCTGTGGCTTCGCCGTGTCTATGGGGAAAGCTGGAAAACCTCTCCTATTCGAATGTGTCCAAGCAGGTTGTCATGTCGTTTTGCGTGGCAGGCGTGGCACTTTGTGACATTCCAACTTGTTTGATAATGCGTCGAAAATGTTAAAATTGGAGGAAGTCTCGCAAGAACTGCTCGTTTTTCTGCACCCACGTGTCTCGTCTCGAGTCTCTGGTTGTCCTGTGGCGTCCCCGTGTCTATGGGGGAAGCTCCGCACTCCACACTCTACACTTTACACTCCACACTCCACAATTTACACTTTAGACTCCACACTCTACACTTTACACTTCACACTTTACACTTTGCACTTTACATTTCTCATTCCTCACCTGAGACTTTACACTCCACACTCCACACTTTACACTACACTCTACACTTTCCACTCCTCACTCCTCACTCTACACTTTACACTCCACACTTCACACTCCACACTTTCCACTCCACGCTCCACACTTTGCACTCCACACTCCACACTTCACACTCCTCACTCCACACTTTACACTCGTCACTTTACACTCTACACTCCACACACTACACTTTACACTCGACACTTTACACTCTACACTCCACACTCCACACTACACTTTACACTCTACGCTCCACACTTTACATTTTACACTCCACACTCCACACTCTACACACCACACTCTACACTTTCCACTCCACACTCCACAGTTTACACTTCACACTCCACACTCTACACTTTACACTCTACACTATACACTCTACACTCCACACGTTACACTTTACACTCCACGCTTTCCACTTTACACTCCACACTTTACACTCCACACTTTACACTCCACACTCCACACTCTACAATCTACACTCCACACTCCACACTCTACACTTTACACTCCTCACTCCACACTCCACACTTTACAATCCTCACTTTACACTCCACACTCCACACTCTACACACCACACTCTACACTTTCCACTCCAGACTCCACACTCTACACTTTACGCTCCACACTCCACACTTTACACTTCACACTCCCACACTTTACACTCCACACTCCCACTTTACAAACACTCCTCAACTCCACACTCCACCTTTACACTCCACACTCCACACTTACACTCCTCATCCACACTCCACACTTTAACATTCACACGCCTTACTTTACATCCCACTTCACACTCCACACTTTCCCTTCACACACTCCACACTGTCACTCCACCGCCACACTTCACTCCTCACTCCACACTTTACACTCCACACTTTACACTCCACACTCCACACTCTACACTTTACACTCCACACTTTACACTCCACACTCCACACTCTACGCTTTACACTCTACACTATACACTCTACACTCCACACTTTACACTTTACACTCCACCCTTTCCACTTTACACTCCTCACTCCACACTTTACACTCCACACTCTACACTTTACACTCCACACTCTACACTCCACACTTTAAACTCCTCACTCCATACTCTACACACCACACTCTACACTTTCCACTCCACACGCCACACGCTACACTCTACACTCCACACTCTCCACTTTACACTCTACACTTTACACTCTACACTTCACACTCTACAATTTACAAACTCCACACTCCTCACTCCACACTTTACACTCCTCACTTTACACTCCACACTCCTCACTCCACACTTTACACTCCTCACTTTACACTCCTCGCTTTATACTCCACACTCCACACTTTACACTCCTCACTCCACACTCTACACTCTACACTCCACACTCTACACTCCACACCCTACACTTTACACTCCATACTCCACACTCTGCACTTTACACTCCGCATTCTACACTTTACACACTCTACACTCCCCACTCCACACTTTTCACTCCACACTCCTTACTTCACACTCCACACTCCACACTCTACACTTTCCACTCCACACTGCAGACTGGCAACAAGGGAAACATGCACAAGACTGTTCAAATAAACTATTGCAGAAAGGTATTTTGCGTGACTGCATAACCATATGTTATGACATCTGTACCATTAACATACGTGTGAGCATTCGGGTTCGTGGGCTTCATCTTGTTTGTTTTTTCCCCACAACTTTGTGTGGGGTTCTTGTTTTTGATTCTGTATCCCGGGCTCCTCCGCCTCCCGCCGCCCGCCTGCCTCCACCTCCAACTTTCTCACATACCAATCTCTCACATACCAAACTTCACATACAATAACTTCACACACACTCACACACAAAACTTTGTCACATACCATCTCTCACATACAATAACTTCACACACACAAACTTAACATACCATAACTTCACACACACTCACACACAAAACTTTGTCACATACCATCTCTCACATACAATAACTTCACACACACAAACTTAACATACCATAACTTCACACACACTCACACACAAAACTTTGTCACATACCATCTCTCACATACAATAACTTCACACACACAAACTTAACATACCATAACTTCACACACACACTCACACACAACACTTTGTCACATACCATCTCTCACATACCATAACTTCACACACACACAAATTTTACATACCATAACTTCACACACACTCACACACACAACTTTGTCACATACCATCTCTCACATACCATAACTTCACACACACACACAAATTTTACATACCATAACTTCACACACACAACTTTGTCACATACCATCTCTCACATACAATAACTTCACACACACAAAATTCACATACAATAACTTCACACACACTCACACACACACAACTTTGTCACATACCATCTCTCACATACAATAACTTCACACACAAACTTAACATACCATAACTTCACACACACTCACACACACACTCACATACAATAACTTCACTCACACTCCACTAACTTCACTCACACTCACACACACACACACACTCTCACATACAATCCACGTGGCACACTGTCACATCCACCTTCGTTTTGCGTGGCAGGCGTGACACAGATGGCACCGGGTGGCGCTGGGTGGCGCGCTTGGTCTTGGTTTAGTCGCCCGTGACGCCGCGGCACTTTGCGTGGCAGGCGCGGCACAAACTCACATCTACCGTCGTTTTGCGTGGCAGGCGCGGTACAAACTCACATCTACCGTCGTTTTGCGTGGCAGGCGTGGCACAGATGGCACTGGGTGGCGCGCTTGGTCTTGGTTTAGTCGCCCGTGACGCCGCGACACTTTGCGTGGCAGGCGCGGCACAAACTCACATCTACCGTCGTTTTGCGTGGCAGGCGCGGTACAAACTCGCATCTACCGTCGTTTTGCGTGGCAGGCGTGGCGCAGATGGCACTGGGTGGCGCGCTTGGTCTTGGTTTAGTCGCCCGTGACGCCGCGACACTTTGCGTGGCAGGCGCGGCACAAACTCACATCTACCGTCGTTTTGCGTGGCAGGCGTGGCACAAACTCACATCTACCGTCGTTTTGCGTGGCAGGCGTGGCACTGATGGCACTGGGTGGCACTGGGTGGCGCGCTTGGTCTTGGTTTAGTCGCCCGTGACGCCGCGGCACTTTGCGTGGCAGGCGCGGCACAAACTCACATCTACCGTCGTTTTGCGTGGCAGGCGTGGCACAAACTCACATCTACCGTCGTTTTGCGTGGCAGGCGTGGCACAGATGGCACTGGGTGGCACTGGGTGGCACTGGGTGGCGCGCTTGGTCTTGGTTTAGTCGCCCGTGACGCCGCGGCACTTTGCGTGGCAGGCGCGGCACAAACTCACATCTAACCGTCGTTTTGCGGGGAGGCGTGGCACAAACTCACATCTACCACCGTCGTTTTGCGTGGCAGGCGTGGCACAAACTCGCATCTACCATCGTTTTGCGTGGCAGGCGTGGCACTGATGGCACTGGGTGGCGTCCTTGGTCTTGGTTTAGTCGCCCGTGACGCCGCGGCTTTTGCGTGGCAGGCGCGGCACAAACTCACATCTACCGTCGTTTTGCGTGGCAGGCGTGGCACAGATGGCACTGGGTGGCGCGCTTGGTCTTGGTTTAGTCGCCCGTGACGCCGCGACACTTTGCGTGGCAGGCGCGGCACAAACTCACATCTACCGTCGTTTTGCGTGGCAGGCGTGGCACAAACTCGCATCTACCATCGTTTTGCGTGGCAGGCGTGGCACAAACTCACATCTACCATCGTTTTGCGTGGCAGGCGTGGCACTGATGGCACTGGGTGGCACTGGGTGGCGCGCTTGGTCTTGGTTTAGTCGCCCGTGACGCCGCGGCACTTTATACATACACATACATACATACACACATACATACGTACGTACGTACGTACATACATACATACCTACGTACGTACATACTTACATACATACATACATACATACATACATACATACGTACATGCATACTATCTTTTCACATACTTTCACACACAGTCTTTCACCACCTCCTTTGTCTTTCCTTCCTTCCCCGTCCCCGCTACAACCTTTGAAGCTCAGTATTGGAAGAAGTTGACTTGTGGGGTTATCCGGTCCTTTAATTTTGCAAAGGCAAGCTAGCTCGCAAATGGTTTAGGCAAGAAAGAAATTGGCAACAGGATGCTTGGGTTGACACTCTTGCATAAAGGCAGCCCTTCCTACTTGCCAACGGCCGATCAGGGCCCCTTTCTTGCAGAATTGAGGTCTACAAAATCCACTATGATTGAAAGTTCATCAAGCGACTGGGTGAAAATTAACCAGGCAGCGCACTGCATGCGATCTGGACTACTTACCATCACTGCCAAGGGAAGTATTGGTTCAAAATTTGCACTAAAAATGCCTCAGCAGTATCTGTTCAAGTCATGGTCATCTGAGATGCTATGCCCTGAGGCTATGGCAAGATGTTGGGCCTCCTGAGGTGCAGAAAGCTGTTGCCGTCTTAACAAACCCACTGGAAAGCAGTGAGTGGCACGTGATGGATCCGTTCACTCACGCTGCGGCGTCCCGTTTTTTGGGCCACCAAACATCGGCAAGGCGCAGGCCGACGAACCGTTTGCTTTGCAAAAGGTTCTTAACGCGTGCGGTCACGGAGGCAGCCCAAAATCTGAAGGTATTGGATTTTTGAGCATCACATCTGCCACAATGGTTATTTCAAACACTTAGCATGTTTCATCACATGACCTTCGTGCCTCCGACACCTCTCTAACCATGAAATCAAACTATCAATCTGACGGGGTTCTTCCGCAACCACAGAGGCCAGTTTTGCGATGGTAACCGGTAGAAGTTGTCACCCAGTCTTAACCAAAGCCCGCGTTCGTTGGATTGTTCTAAGACCGCTCTGAAGGCCCCATCAGAAGCAACAGGTCGCAGAACGATAGTGCTTTGACCATCTCACTTTCGCAGTTGTTGGCCTCGCAAGTTGCTCAAAAGTGAAGGGATGTGATGGGGCTCAGGCTATTCAGGCTATCATCTTACACCACTATCTTGAACCGGGTTGGAAGCCTTTGGTTCGCTGTGTTCGGTCGACAGATACAGCTTGCGGTGCGAAGGTCCGCGTGATACGACGCAAGTTCCAGACATCTGAACCAACACCCCTTCTCCAAACATGCAACTGTTTCCCCACCATCAACAATCTGTCTGGTGACTTGTGAATGTCTCTCACACCCTCACGCCCCGCCTTCACTGAGCAGTTCGGCCGCCTCATCCACTTTTCCGCGCTCCTGCAGAGGTTGGATTCCTCGACACATTGACTTCCAAACGTCTGAAATCTGTCAAGCACCGTGACCGCAGGGTGTGAGGTCCTCGAGAAATTCGGCCAAATCCCTCCTGGAAGTGACGGTCTCTTGGAGGTGTTCTCCATGAACTGCTATACCTTGGCAAGCCCCGCCCAGATCTGCAGAAAACTCAGAAAACAGCAAGAGGGCCATCTTCCGGGAATCATAACACCGACGCAACGAAAAAGACACGCTCAACATGCTGGGAGAGTTGCAGGCCGCGAGCTCCTCCCGGAAGAGTTCTTCAGCCTCTTCGAACTTCTTCATCGACTTCAACAGGTTGGCCAAGCTGTAGATGCTCCACATGGTATCCGGATGCTGGTTCCCCAGCTTGAGGCGCCCTGCGAGCCAAGTCTCAAAGAAAAACGGAATCACTGACTTTTTCTGAAGCTCCGGGCTGCAAAGTAAAGTTGTTTTCGTGCCATCAACTCTGCTGCTGGCAATTCATCAAACAGAATTCATTGTTCATTCGCCCTGTATTTTACGTTGTATTTCTTTTGTTTTTTTTTGCCGGAGGTTAGAGACACACTGTTAGCTAGAAAAACCGTGGACTCTCTTGACAGCAATGCAATCTGTGTCTGTCAATATCATCAAACAGAAATACTTGCAATTCACAGGCTTTCTGACATTCTTGGGCTGCACCGTGTCTGAATTTCTTGCCGGCAATCTGCGTCCCAAAAAATCTCATGAAATAGATTTAAATAGAAATACGTTCAGGTGAAAACATGAAAATGCGTCACCGAATTTGCCAATGTCATCCAATGTCTTGTTCTGCAAAAAAACAATTGGGAATTCAAAATTGGACAAGCAAAAAATCACACTGCACCAGTTCCTGTCATGAGAAACTTGGAGAAAACAAGCAGTAAAACCAAAGCCTGAAATTAACCAACGAAAGTGACTCCAGATCCACTGCCCAAAGTCCCTTTGAAATCTCTGAAGCTGAGCTCCCGGGCTCTTCTCTAGAGCCTCGCGGTAAAGAGGCTCGGCCTCCTGGGCTTCGAGAACCGCCGCCAAATTGTTGATGCTGTTCAAAGTATCTGGGTGGTCTTCGCCCAGTTTGGCCTTCCCTGGGCACGGCAACACGGGCGGATTGCACAGATTGCATCTGCACACAAAAGGCGCAACTGGAAACCAACAATGGCCATTAAGCGAATTGAATCGCAAACCACAAGTGATTTTGCTTTCTATCTGAACCATTGCTGACTCTTTCGCCATCAAAGCAATCTGCTTCCAACAAACATCAAACAGAAATCAATGCACTTTGGAGTTTTCAAGGCATTTGCCATGACTTGCTTTGGAAGCCAAATGAACGCGACTTTGGACATGTTTGGCCAAAAACAAATCTGCTCAGCGCTGGCAACTCCTGAAATTCCGAGGGTCTCTGACATCTCAGGAGTGGCAAAATATGTCGCAAGCAGCGGACGCAAAACATGGAAACATGTGCCACAGGTGGGTCCCAGACCCAAAGCATTTTATTCCAAGTCTTCCAAAAAATATGATTCCTTCAACTCACCGTATCCCCTGACATAATTTCTTACGGGATGGGGCATCCAAAAACATCCTAAGAGTATTGCTGCACATATTGCTGCACCTGTCATGAGGAACCTAATTACCTAACGAAAGTCCAATAAGGTGTGACTCCAGATCCACTGCCCAAAGTCCCTTTGAAATCTTTGAAGCTAAGCTCCCGGGCTCTTCTCTAGAGCCTCGCGGTAAAGAGGCTCGGCCTCCTGGTCATCGAGAACCGCCGCCAAATTGTTGATGCTGTTCAAAGTATCTGGGTGGTCTTCGCCCAGTTTGGCCTTACCTCGGCACGGCAACACGGGCGGATTGCACAGATTGCATCTGCACACAAAAGGCGCAACTGGAAACCAACAATGGCCATTAAGCGAAATGAATCGCAAACCACAAGTGATTTTGGTTTCTATCTGAACCATTGCCGACTCTTTCGCCATCAAAGCCCTCTGCTTCCAACATCATCAAATAGAAATCAATGCGCTTTGGAGTTTTCAAGGCATTTGCCATGACTTGCTTTGGAAGCCAAATGAACGCGACTTTGGACATGTTTGGCCAAAAACATATCTGCTCAGCGCTGGCAACTCTGAAATTCCGAGGGTCTCTGACATCTCAGGAGTGGCAAAATATGGCAAAATATGTCGCAAGCAGCGGACACAAAACATGGAAACATGTGCCACAGGTGGGTCCCAGACCCAAAGCATTTTATTCCAAGTCTTCCAAAAAATGTGATTCCTTCAGCTCACCGTATCCCCTGACATAATTTCTTACGGGATGGGGCATCCAAAAACATCCTAAGAGTATTGCTGCACATATTGCTGCACCTGTCATGAGGAACCTAATTACCTAACGAAAGTCCAATAAAGTGTGACCCCAGATCCACTGCCCAAAGTCCCTTTGAAATCTTTGAAGCTGAGCTCCCGGGCTCTTCTCTAGAGCCTCGCGGTAAAGAGGCTCGGCCTCCGCCAGGTGCCCCTGGGCTTTGAGGAGTAGAGCCAAATTGTTGAGGCTGCTCAAAGTATCTGGGTGGTCCTCACCCAGTTTGGCCTTCCCTGGGCACGCAACACGGGCGGATTGCACAGATTGCATCTGCGCACAAAAGGCGCAACTGGAAACCAACAATGGCCATTAAGCGAATTGAATCGCAAACCACAAGTGATTTTGGTTTCTATCTGAACCATTGCTGACTCTTTTGCCATCAAAGCAATCTGCTTCCAACATCATCAAATATAGAAATCAATGCACTTTGGAGTTTTCAAGGCATTTGCCATGACTTGCTTTGGAAGCCAAATGAACGCGACTTTGGACATGTTTGGCCAAAAACATATCTGCTCAGCGCTGGCAACTCTGAAATTCCGAGGGTCTCTGACATCTCAGGAGTGGCAAAATATGGCAAAATATGTCGCAAGCAGCGGACACAAAACATGGAAACATGTGCCACAGGTGGGTCCCAGACCCAAAGCATTTTATTCCAAGTCTTCCAAAAAATATGATTCCTTCAGCTCACCGTATCTCCTGACATAATTTCTTGCGGGATGGGGCATCCAAAAACATCCTAAGAGTATTGCTGCACATATTGCTGCACCTGTCATGAGGAACCTAATTACCTAACGAAAGTCCAATAAGGTGTGACTCCAGATCCACTGCCCAAAGTCCCTTTGAAATCTTTGAAGCTAAGCTCCCGGGCTCTTCTCTAGAGCCTCGCGGTAAAGAGGCTCGGCCTCCTGGTCATCGAGAACCGCCGCCAAATTGTTGATGCTGTTCAAAGTATCTGGGTGGTCTTCGCCCAGTTTGGCCTTACCTGGGCACGGCAAGATGGGCGGATTGCGCTGATTGCATCTGTGCACAAAAGGCGTAACTGGAAATCAACAATGGCCATTAAGCGAATTGAATCGCAAACCACAAGTGATTTTGGTTTCTATCTGAACCATTGCTGACTCTTTTGCCATCAAAGCAATCTGCTTCCAACATCATCAAATATAGAAATCAATGCACTTTGGAGTTTTCAAGGCATTTGCCATGACTTGCTTTGGAAGCCAAATGAACGCGACTTTGGACATGTTTGGCCAAAAACATATCTGCTCAGCGCTGGCAACTCTGAAATTCCGAGGGTCTCTGACATCTCAGGAGTGGCAAAATATGGCAAAATATGTCGCAAGCAGCGGACACAAAACATGGAAACATGTGCCACAGGTGGGTCCCAGACCCAAAGCATTTTATTCCAAGTCTTCCAAAAAATATGATTCCTTCAGCTCACCGTATCCCCTGACATAATTTCTTACGGGATGGGGCATCCAAAAACATCCTAAGAGTATTGCTGCACATATTGCTGCACCTGTCATGAGGAACCTAATTACCTAACGAAAGTCCAATAAGGTGTGACTCCAGATCCACTGCCCAAAGTCCCTTTGAAATCTTTGAAGCTAAGCTCCCGGGCTCTTCTCTAGAGCCTCGCGGTAAAGAGGCTCGGCCTCCTGGTCATCGAGAACCGCCGCCAAATTGTTGATGCTGTTCAAAGTATCTGGGTGGTCTTCGCCCAGTTTGGCCTTCCCTGGGCACGGCAACACAGGCGGATTGCACAGATTGCATCTGCACACAAAAGGCGCAACTGGAAACCAACAATGGCCATTAAGCGAAATGAATCGCAAACCACAAGTGATTTTGGTTTCTATCTGAACCATTGCCGACTCTTTCGCCATCAAAGCAATCTGCTTCCAACATCATCAAACAGAAATCAATGCACTTTGGAGTTTTCAAGGCATTTGCCATGACTTCGTTTGGAAGCCAAATGAACGCAACTTTGGAACCTTCTGGCCAAAAATTGCTAAAGACATCCCAAGAGTATTGCTGCACCAGTTCCTGTCATGAGGAACCTAACTAACCAACGAAAGTCCAAGAAGGTGTGACTCCAGATCCACTGCCCAAAGTCCCTTTGAAATCTTTGAAGCTAAGCTTCCGGGCTCTTCTCTAGAGCCTCGCGGTAAAGAGGCTCGGCCTCCGCCAGGTGCCCCTGGGCTTCGAGGAGCTCCGCGAGATTGCTGAGGCTTCTCAAAGTATCTGGGTGGTCCTCACCCAGTTTGGCCTTACCTGGGCACGGCAACACGGGCGGATTGCACAGATTGCATCTCTGCACAAAAGGCGCAACTGGAAACCAACAATGGCCATTAAGGGAAATGAATCGCAAACCACAAGTGATTTTGCTTTCTATCTGAACCATTGCCGACTCTTTCGCCATCAAAGCCCTCTGCTTCCAACATCATCAAATAGAAATCAATGCGCTTTGGAGTTTTCAAGGCATTTGCCGTGACTTGCTTTGGAAGCCAAATGAACGCGACTTTGGACATGTTTGGCCAAAAACATATCTGCTCAGCGCTGGCAACTCCTGAAATTCTGAGGGTCTCTGACATCTCAGGAGTGGCAAAATATGTCGCAAGCAGCGGACACAAAACATGGAAACATGTGCCACAGGTGGGTCCCAGACCCAGAGTATTTTATTCCAAAATTCCTTCAACTCACCGTATCCCCTGACATAATTTCTTACGGGATGGGGCATCCAAAAACATCCTAAGAGTATTGCTGCACATATTGCTGCACCTGTCATGAGGAACCTAATTACCTAACGAAAGTCCAATAAGGTGTGACTCCAGATCCACTGCCCAAAGTCCCTTTGAAATCTTTGAAGCTAAGCTCCCGGGCTCTTCTCTAGAGCCTCGCGGTAAAGAGGCTCGGCCTCCTGGTCATCGAGAACCGCCGCCAAATTGTTGATGCTGTTCAAAGTATCTGGGTGGTCTTCGCCCAGTTTGGCCTTCCCTCGGCACGGCAACACAGGCGGATTGCACAGATTGCATCTGCACACAAAAGGCGCAACTGGAAACCAACAATGGCCATTAAGCGAATTGAATCGCAAACCACAAGTGATTTTGGTTTCTATCTGAACCATTGCTGACTCTTTTGCCATCAAAGCAATCTGCTTCCAACATCATCAAATATAGAAATCAATGCACTTTGGAGTTTTCAAGGCATTTGCCATGACTTGCTTTGGAAACCAAATGATCGCAACTTTGATAAAACTTTGGTTGCTTTGGGGCAAAAGCATCCCAGAAGTAATACTGCACAAGTTCCCTTGACGCAAAACCAAAGCGATGACCGTAGCTCCTTGGGAAGCTGAGATCCAGGCGGATTCGCAAGCACTCTCTGTACAGCTCTTCCGCTTCTCCATACTATCATACCGGGCGCGGCCGTCCAGCCTCCGCGCCAGCTCGAACATGCAGTCTGCCATCAACACGTCCTCGCCCGCGCTGGCGCGGAGCATCCGCAGCCGAAGCTGCTGAAGGTCCAGGATGGAATCCGCTTCGGCCGCTGCATGCTGCACTTCCCCATCCTCGGCGCCGCGCAAAGGCCACAGACGTGAACCATCAAGTGCAACTAGTGGGGAGGCCCGGTGGGGCACATGGATTATGGGATTCTCACATCTGCCAGCAGGTCAGGGACAAATTCTGTACCTGGTCTTGAATATGTCATGCATAGATGACCTCGCGTCACAACCTGTATCAACTCCTCTCTGCCAAAAGTCTATTTCCACTCTGATGACCCAAACGTCCCGGTTTCGGTGTGTTGGTTTGCCCTCATAGTCTTCCCCTGGCACGCACATGCAGAACCGATTCTTGGACAAAAGTGCCTCACCCCGAGCTTCGAGCCTAGTTTGATGGGGCGCTCCTGGCCAGCTGAATCTTTCACCGTCTTCACTGCCATGTCTGGCCTCAAGCACGTACACATCCGACCAAAGGCGTCTTGCTCCAACTGATTTAAGTTACAGGATGCTCCACAGGCAAACAAATCCTTCCAAACTTGCGCGTTGTCACTCTGAAACATCAGTTTTCACGTATCTTATCGGCAGCCGTGGCACGTGTGTCTTTCGAAGATGTTGTAGGCGATGGAGCGGGGGACAATCAGCGGAATACAGAACGCCGCTCGATGGCCTTCCTCTCTGCCGTTGCCCCACTGGGCATCCCTTTTTGAGCCTCTTCCGGGGTCGGGCCTCGGAACGCTTCAACCGCTGAGTTGCTACAGAAACTGATTGCGCTAGCCGCTTGCAACTCTAAGTTTGGGACTGAAGGGGTCTCCGTTCGAGTAGTTGTTCAGCAGGATCCGAAGACGTGAGGCCCAAACCTGTCTTAGCACGATGGTTCACAGAGAACCAAAATCAAAACCTTCAACAACTCCACAATTCAACACGGCTTCGTTCCGCATCACATTTCAGCCGAGCAGCGGCAGGCTCGTGCTGCGTGGCATACAGGCCCTTGCCGAAGTGAGCGCGCTCGTCCACCAGGGACGCAAAGAGCTGCGCGGCCGTCTGCTCCAAGTTTCCGACGTTGCGGAAGGCCTTTTCGTCGGTGTAGTGGTACAAAGTGACCACTTCTTCGCCTGTGCTTTGCAGGACCAAAGTCCAACGCAAACTTCCGTGCACTTGATAAAGCAGTGAACCAATGTACATTGAAAACTTCTGACAATGGCAGCTGCGCCTTTCAAGCCAAATGCTCGCAAGTCGAAGGCATGCTGCCAAACCATCACATCTCCATCGGAAGCTTCGTATTTGTAGGTCCCGAGTTCCCCTACATAGCTGTTGGAATAGCAGCTACCATCGTAGAGCTCGCCGGCCAAGTACCTGGAAGCAAAGCTGTTCTCCGTTCAGTCGAACCAAACACAGTCTGCGGCACCTCTTGGCGAAGTAGTCCGAGAGCTCTGCGCGCTGTGTGTTCAACTGATCCTGGGAACATCGATTGGCAGCCAAGCTGCCCAAAAAAAGAACGTCTGAGTTTTCCCCTCTGCTGGCCCCAAGCAGCACAGCACCCAGAAGTCAGAACTCACCTTCCAGTGTGAAATGAACATCTTTCACGTGAAGCCACTTGTAAGTCTTATTCCAGACAAAACCAATTTCTCATTCGTCATGTTTAAACCATGAAATCTGTTCGCATTTAGTTGGGTCACTCAAGTGACTGCCCGGTTCTGTTGAAGACCAAAGGAAGAAGAGCAGTTTGGTGCCCAGAAATGACAAAAGTGGTGAATTCCAACACGACAAAACGTGTTCCAGAGAATTTACACGCTTGCCTCGTGCATACACACAGGCTAAAGCGCAGTGAGATGGGGCGTGCAGCTGACCACAATTTTGCATAGAATATAACTTAAGTTCTCCCACTTAAAACTGATCAAAAGAACATGAACCATAATTACTTCCACTGGTGCAGTGAAAAAGTACATCTATATTCTGAAGAACATGGAATTGAACCAACCTCTCCTGAAACTGACGTTCAACTTCCTCAAATTCACCCAAGTCATCCCAAGACAGTGAACAAAAAGCAATCCATGATCAGCATGCAGGATGTTTTACGCCCTGAGGCTTTCGGAAGTGTGGATTCGTGGATCAAGAAGGGTTCATGGCAACGATTCTTGGAAAGATTTTTTTTAGACAGTGCATGGCCCAAAGTAGATCAGGACCTTACGTTTGATGCTTGACCCCCTGCAAATCGCTACATTAAAATGTCAATGGACTCAAAATGGTGTCGGTATGGTGTCGGTTAAGGGGAACTCCGTGAAAGCAAGAATCTGATTAAATGATTGTAACTTGTAACTGTAACCTTCTTGCTTCTCGGACATTGTCTTCCGTGCTCAAGTGAGTTTCCATGTTACTTTCTTCGTCAAAGATGACAATTCCTGGTAGGACTCACCTGCAAAGAGAGAATGTAAAGTAGTCTACCTACCCGATTTTGAAAGGGAAATGATTTGCATTTTTTGCGAAACCAGCATGCATCAAACATGTCATTGAATGAAAAGTACAGCAATTTTTGTGGGTAAAGGATTCAATTCAAACACAGACAAACAAATCATTCAACTTGATTGCCTTGATCCAAAAGCCAACATCTTCTTAGACAAACAAACTCTTCGCTGTGGCAAACAAAGGGGACCGCCTCTGTCCCGCCGTAATCCTCGGCCATCCCTTCTGGAACTCTTGATGAGCCCTCCTTGGTGCAGTCTCTTCGAATACAGGTGAAACATGGTGAAACACATAGTGAATCGCAATCAAACGGAACATGAAAGGACTCCAGGAACATCGTTCGCCCGGTTCACCCGGTTGTCCCGCTTTCCTTCGGTTTGCTGTATGGAGGTGCGATGTCTTCTCAGTTTTCGATCCTATGGCGCTGTCTTGGTCCCTGGCATACATGGTCCTTTAAGCTCAACAAAAATTCACAGATCCCGTACGTATACCAGGTTCAATAGGAATTGCAAAATACAGGTCGATACAAGCGATACAAGTTGAGTTTTGGCAGTCGAGGAACAGCACTCTGCAGAACTGCCACCGCTTCCGCGTATTTGGAGTCGCACTCCAAATTCAAGGGAGTGAGACCTGAGCCGAAAAACTTTGACACCTTCAAACAACGGAACCGGACGGGTTGACAGAACAGCTGCACCCTTTTCAGCCGAAGGTTTTTCTGGGATGGTCGCCAAGAAATCCCAAGCAGTCAACATCCACATCACACGCGCATCACACGCGCATCACACGCACATCACACACATTCATCATTCCTCCACATTCATCAGCTCCGAAGAGCTCAGAGGCTGAGGCTCCAGGCCGCTGAGGTCTGTGGCATCAGTCGTGGCCCTGGCCTCCAGCAGCAGCTCGATGAGTTTGACTCCGACCTCACTGGCAGCATCGCTGGCCAAGTGGAGTGGTGTCCGGCCTCAGGGTGCGCACGAAAGCTTGATGAAACCTGAGAACTTGACACTAAAATGCACCAAGCTGAGCATGTCATGGCACATTCCAATTTCCTCGTCAACTTGGGAACTCTTAACTTTTCAGGAAACACCTTGCAACTCCGAGCGCTCCAGAGATTCGGGCCGCTTCCGTCATTGGCATCGACAGCTGCGCGATTTTGCAGCAGCTGCTGGACGCACGTTTCGTCACCCCGGCAGACGGCATTGTGGAGCTCCGTCCGGCCTAGGCGACAAAAGTCCATTCCATCTGAATTGCACGACGACGAGTTGCCTGCTACATCCTGCTACACTGCTACACTACACGACAGAAGAAACAGCAAATGTTGCTAAAGCTTGGCAGAAAGGAGGCAACGGCAACCTCCTCTGCTGGCAACACATCAGGCCGTTTTCTTCTTTGCTGTTCGACCTCGACTCAACTTTGAGCCCACGGCCCAACCTGTTCTTCTTCTCAACAGATTTGCCTTCCTCAGCTGTCATGTCTTGGCCTTGGCATGACCAAGGCAGAACGGCTTTCCATGGCTTTCCTTTCAGCCAAACAGCTCCTAAGAACAGTCCAAGCGCGTGAGTGAGGTAAATCATGATGAACGAATCACATCGAATTCTTCATTCCTGAAATCAAAGGTTTTGTGCCAAGTGCCAAGCTCCTGGTCCCAAAGGATGCCCGTGGGACCTGGTCAACAGGGAGTATTCGCCAGGTACACTGCAAGCACATGTATCACATGTCACATAGGAAGATAAAAAGAAATGAAAGACTCAAAAACCATCCTTTTTGGTCACACGACCCCTTAGTGGCCCATGATAAGTTTGCAGTTTCTGTGTTCGTTGAGCAGCAGCCAGATGCTGTTCGGTCAAAGTTTCTTTGCATGCCGGTTTTGCTAGATATCAACAGCAATCTACTGCATACCGACGACATGGTGTCTGTGACATACCGTCTTAAGCTTTCGTTGCTTTTTGATGTCTTCCTGTGGACACTTAATGCGAAAATGCGAAGCAGAATGGCATCTTACCAGGTCCTACCAGTTGGATGATTGTCTGAAAACCTGTGAAACACATAGCAGGACCAACGCGACCAATGGCAAAATGTCGCCTCCTGGTTTCCAGGCTTCCAGGCAGCCACGCATTGCTAAGATATGAACCCGCTGACATATATCATATATCCGACTGTTACAAGCAGAAGTGAACCTTCCAAATGGTAGATGCTTACATAATCTTACATATCATGGTTGCCATTTTGTTCCGTTCTTACTGACTATAGAGACGCTGCTGACCCTGCCCCTATGCAGATGCACAAAAAATCATGGTTTGTCGTTTGTGGATCAGGCTGACGAGCCAACGGCTGCATGTCTTGGATGATTGGCCGTGAGCGTCATACAGCAGCAGCACTTCGCATGGATTGCAATCCGCAGCTGAAAAAAACAGCGACTTCGGCCTGCTCAACTTCTCGGCGAGAAATTCAAGGAGAGGTATTCGTCTTCTAGCCTACAGGGCAACCGTCCACATGTTCTCTTGACTTCCTTCCAGATCCTTCCAGATCCTTCCAGATGGCTCTTGACACCGGTTGATTTCCTAATTGACTTACCATCACTGCCAAGGGAAGTATTGGTTCAAAATTTGATTAAAAAAAACCTCAGCAGTATCTATTCAAATCTTGAAAAGGTGTCTCAGAAGTATCAGTTCAAGTCATGGTCATCTGAGATGCTATGCCCTGAGGCTATGACAAGATGTTGGGCCTCCCGAGGTGCAGCAAGCTGTTGCCGTAACAAACCCATGAGAAATGCATGGTTTGTGGCACGTGATGGATCCGTTCACTCACGCTGCGGCGTCCCGTGTTCTCCGCCACTAAACAGCGTCAAGGCGCAGGCCGACGAACCGTCTGCTTGGCAAAGGGCTTTCGACGCGTGAGGTCACGGAGGCAACCCAAAATCTCAAGGTATTGGATTCTTGAGCATCACATCTGCCACAATGGTTATTTCAAACACTTAGCATGTTTCATCACATGACCTTCGTGCCTTCGACACCTCTCTAACCAACATGAAATCAAGCTATATCAATCTGACGGGGTTCTTCCACAACCACAGAGGCCAGTTTTGCGATGGTAACCGGTAGAAGTTGTCGCCCAGTCTTAACCAAAGCCCGCGTTCGTTGGATTGTTTTAAGACCGCTCTGAAGACCCCATCAGAAGCAACAGGTCGCAGGATAGTGCTTTGACCATCTCACTTTCGCAGTTGCTGGCCTCGCAAGTTGCTCAAAAGTGAAGGGACGCGGTGAGGCTCAGGCTATAATCCTACACTCAGCTTGAACCGGGTTGGAAGCCTTTGGTGCGCTGTGTTCAGTCGATACAGCTTGCAGTGCGAAGGTCCGCGTGATACGACGCAAATTCCAGACATCTGAACCAACACCCCTTCTCCAAACATGCAACTGTTTCCCCACCAACAATCTGTCTGGTGACTTGTGAATGTCCCTCACACCCTCACGCCCCACCTTCACAGAGCAGTTCGGCCGGCCAAACGCAGAAGTTCCTGTGCCTCCTCCACCTTTCCGCGCTCCTGCAGAGGTTGGATTCCTCGACACATTGACTTCCAAACGTCTGAAATCTGATATGCCAAGCACGGTGGCGGCAGGATGTGAGGTCCTTGAGAAACTTCGCCAAATTCCTCCTGAAACCCACGGTCTCTTTGTGGTGTTCTCCATGACGTGATCTGCCTTGGCAAGCCCCGTCTCTGCAGAAAACTCAGAAAATAGCTAGAGGGCCGCCATCTCCCTGGAATCACGAACCGGGTTTCTGAACACACCGACGCAACAAAAAAGAATCTTCCCAACCTTGAAGGTACTAGGAGTAGGCACCACCTCAGAATAATTTCAAAATTTATTCCAAGGTGGGGGTAGTACTACGGTGCCCTAAAAATAGTTTATAGATAAATAGTCAACCACCTACAGAATAATCCGCCGACCCTGGCCTTCGCCAAGGCAGGGGCGGCGCCTGGGACCACCGGAGGTGTGGAACCTGCTTTGTCTTGGCTGCTCCAGGGTTGCAGCCTGCGCTTTGCCTGCACATCCCTCGCGGCAGCTTCCACCAAGCTCCTGGCCGTCAGCGTTCCAGCATTGCAGCCTGCCCTTTGCCTGCACATAGCCCTCTCTTGTTACGGCATTCGAGCCTGCCATTTGCCAGGCTTCAAACCCCTAAAACCCCTAAAACCTGCCGTTTGCCAGGCTTCAAACCCCTAAAACCCTCCGCGGCAGCTTCCACCAAGCCTGGCCGTCAGCCTTTGCTGCTCCAGCAACCCTCTCCAGGGTTGCTGCTCTTTCCTGGCCGTCAGCGTTCCAGCATTGCAGCCTGCCCTTTGCCTGCACAGCCTTCTCTTGTTAGGGCATTCGAGCTGCCGTTTGCCGGCTTTTTTCAAAACCCCTTAAAACCCTCCGAGGCAGCTTCCACCAAGCCTGGGCCCGTCAGCCTTGCTGCTCCAGGGTTGCTGCTCTTTTCCTGGCCGTCAGCGTTCCAGCATTGAAGCCTGCCCTTTGCCTGCACATAGCCCTCTCTTGTTAGGGCATTCGAGCCTGCCGTTTGCCAGGCTTCAAACCCCTAAAACCCCTAAAACCATCCAATTCCTTAGCGGCAGCTTCCACCAAGCCTGGCCGTCAGCCTTTGCTGCTCCAGGGTTGCAGCCTGCCCTTTCCTGGCCGTCAGCGTTCCAGCATTGCAGCCTGCCCTTTGCCTGCACAGCCTTCTATTGTTAGGGGCCTGCCGTTTGCCAGGCTTCAAACCCCTAAAACCCTCCGCGGCAGCTTCCACCAAGCCTGGCCGTCAGCCTTTGCTGCTCCAGGGTTGCAGCCTGCCCTTTCCTGGCCGTCAGCGTTCCAGCATTGAAGCCTGCCCTTTGCCTGCACATAGCCCTCTCTTGTTACGGCATTCGAGCCTGCCGTTTGCCAGGCTTCAAACCCTTACAACCCCTAAAACCCTCCACATCCCTCGCGGCAGCTTCCACCAAGCTCCTGGCCGTCAGCGTTCCAGCATT